GTGAGTGAGCATCACTAGAGATGCAGCAGGCAGCCCTGGGGCGGGCGCTGTGCCTCCCAGCCCCCTGGGAGCTGAACTGGGATATGGCACTAAAGTCAGCAAGGGCCTCCTGCGTGGTGGATGGAGTGGCCAGAGCCCAGGGGGGAGACAGGAGGGCTTTGGTCAATGGGGGAGGCAGTTGGGAAGAGCCTGTTGGGTGGGGTGGGAACCCTGGATCCAGGGGAGGGGGCAGGATGGAGGACCTCAAAATGGTGAGTTCAAACCCTGGCTCCATCGGTTGTGACAATTTGGGTCAATTAGTTGACCTCTTGGTGCCTTGGTCCCCCATTTGTATTTGGGACGCCAGTCCTTCCATGCTTAGTGCTCCTTGGGGTTTTAGAAGAGGGTGGGGCACATGACAAGCAGGTCAGTGTGAGTGTCTTCATGAAGAGATGGGCCTGACAGGGCAGGTGTGCTGGGAAAGGGGTGGATGCAGGAGACGGGAGTGAGGGGCAGGGGATTCTGGCAGACCCTCCCCAGAGGCGAGGCATCCTAGTGCTTACTACTCAGGCTTCAATCTCAGTTCTCCCACTTACTGGCTCAGCCCCCTTTGAGGCTGCACAGGGAGGTACTGAGGCTGCCCCTTGGATGCGTAGTGCCTAGAAGCACCTAGCTCAGTGCTAGTCATCGCTATTGTTTAAAGAGGCACAGAGAGGTGAAATCACCTGTCCAGGGCCACACAGTGAGGAAGCAGCCCCGCTATGTTTGATACGGCTCCTGAACCCCCGTGGCGCCCTGACGTGCACCCTTGCTGCTGTGGCCCTGTGGCTGCTGGTGGTGCTGGGCTTTATGGGGTGGCCTACTGCAGGAATGAGGAGGGGAAGGCCGGGCTTGGCTCCTCGGGCCTCGAAGTCCGCTTGCCGCCCTCACACAACGTCTGGCTTAGGCTGCGGGGAAGCCCTGGGAGTTCTTCTGACACAGAGCCACACACCCTCTGACCACAGTGGCCACATTTCCGAGTCCCTCACCTCTTGCCCAACCATTACACTGGCGACAGAGTTCTTCCTTAGCAACGATCTCTTCCTCCTCAGCCGCCAGGACCTACGCCAGGGACAGCCGGCTGGCAGGGCAAGAATGGACTGGTTCACTGCTGCCACGGGTCGGGGGCCAGGGACTGCGGGCGATGGGAGCATGCCAAGGAAAGAGACCAGGGAGAGGGGCTCCTCCAGCCCCCAGCCCCGCAAATCCAGGGGTGTGGCCAAGCCCAGGACCCTTTGATGGGCAGCTCTGGACTTGGAAATGAGACTGACTTTCCCAGACCCCTATCTCGGAGCCGCACCCTTTTCTCCCCTCCACTGCTGATGGGAGGCCACAGCAGGAAGGGGGGGACAGACCCCACGGCATGGCACCGTGCCAAGGCGGGGACCCACTTTTTGGCAACGTGTCCTGACTTGTGTCTCTATCTTGCCACACTTGGTAGCATCTTTGGGTGCCATCTGGACCATTCAACTCAGTTGTTACAAGCCTAACATTTATTTTAAAAGGAACCTACTTCATAACTCTCGATGGATAACTAGTCTCACTGGTCATGAACACAACATAATCCCAAAATAAATATTATTGAGACAATGAGGACAGCTCCCCGAGGGCAGTGGCCAGCTCCCACAACAGTGCCTGGCACATCATAGGTGCCCAAAGTACATCTTTTAAATGAGGAGCTGAGTAACTGAAGAAATTAATAAACACAGAAAGGAATGCATGATCGGGAATGGATGCTCAGGGCAGACTCGAAGCCTGTTTGTTAAAATGAGGAAAAGCGAATGTTCAAGAGGCGTCGAAGCCATGCCTGTCTCACATGGAGACTTCCTTCTTGTGTTCACCATGACCAGCATGGCTGTCTAAGTGTGTTCCTGCCTGCACTCACACATGTGCGAACAGACTCCAGACTCTAGCGCCCTCAGCCACCACCCTCAGCCAGGGTGCTGCAGTCAGCTCTCCTCCCAGTCCGTCCTCCCACTCTGGACAGGGCCATGTTCATAAGCATGAAGTCACTGTCCTCGTCTGGCTGGAGCCTGTGGGGGCCTAGCCTGTGGGGGTGGCCGAGCTGTGGGGGTGGCCACCGCACTGCCTCTGTAGATGCTGGCGCAGGAAACCTGATGCCATCCTGACTCATTCCTGAGCTGGACTGGGGGTGGCCTCACTCGTCACTCTTACCTTCACACCTGCCCTGGCCTATGATTGTGGCCACGACATTCATTTCTTCCTCCCTCCCGGGGCATGTGCTTGGGTGTGGGTTTGGAAGGAGGAGGCAGGGAAATGCAGCGGGAGGCAATCTCAGCACAGAGCTCTGTGCTTTGTGACCGGATGGGAAAGCCGCTCTGCAGGGAGGCTGGGTGGCTGTGGGGCAGGGAAGACCAGGGATCCCAAAGGTGGGAAGGCGAGGGGGCAGTGATGTGAGCCAGCCGGTTGGTTACAATAACCATGTGTTCTCGTTGGGTATTTTAAGTTTTTTTAAAAAGCCAAACCCCAAATCTACTTGATAGTGTCTGCTCTGTAAGAGCCAGGCCAGGACCAAAAAATATCCAAAAAACCTTTCGAGTCTGGCACAGACCTCCTGCCACCCCCTCACCACCTAGTGAGACTTCAGGTCTAGCGAGACCCCTCCTCACACTGTCCTCCACCACATGTCCTCCACCACGTGCCCAGAGCCCTGCCCTCCCTCCGCCAGGGCAAGCGGGGGTCCTTGAGGAGGTGGCAAAGGGGACGAGACAGCCATGGCTGACTCACCAAGGGTCGGGGGATCGTTAGTCAGAGCAGAAATAGGGTGGGACGTGGGCTACATTCTCTTCCCCCCTCTTCTTCCTGGGCCTCAGACTTTCACCCAGGTATGGGGGTGGGGGTTCCCCCAGTTGGGGAATGGGGGGAGGGGCAGGGGAGCCTTTCCTTCATGGTGGAAGTCAGGCCTCACTGAGCCTGTGTTCCAGAGCTGAAAAGCCCCACAGCAAATGGCATTGCATACGCATAGCCACGACGGGCAGAGATCTTGGCTTCTGGCCAGAGTGGTGGGCAGGGCCCCAGGGCCTGCTACACTGGAGCAAATTTCAGCAGTGCACCCCACACTCACGGGAACTTCCAGAAAGATCACCGCTCTCCCCAGGAGGCCCCACCCTGCCCAGCTGATTTCCTCCTGAGCCAGGATCCCAGCTGGCCAGTCCACACTCCTCCTCCCCAAGGAGCTAAAAGGCCAGAGCTTACGCAGGTGACACCAGCCCCACGGTCAGCACGCCTGGGCCTGACTGTCCTTTCATGTGCTCTATAATTTGCCCCTGGAATCAGCCATTAAGTCATCTGCGGGCTGATGCCAAGGATAAGGCCCATATCGGACTCTGGGATCTGTGGCCCAGACTCCCAGGCTCTGCTGTGGCTTTGCTGAATCAGCCTCCGGACTGGCCTGGGAGAGAGGGCCAGCTCACTGCAGGTGCCCAGACAGTGGAATGGCCTCAGAGTCCTGAAACCAGTGTAGGTTAGTAGCTGCTCTATTCGGAGCCCCCATCTTTCCGATGAGGACACTGAGGCACAAGAGGGTGGTGTGACCTCAGGTATCCTGGGCATCCGTAAAGCTTCTCTCACCTGTGTCCCCTCTCCCCAGCAGCACACAGAATCAGCAAGCTGTCTCAGACATTGTGGAACTGCATACAGATCTGCTCTGGCACACAGAATCGGCAAGCCCAGTAGAGGGCTGGAGAGTACACAGGGGTCCCAGCTGCAGTCCTCCAAAGTCTGTGCTGGGAGCCTACCGGGGAGCGGAGGGGTCCTCTGAGGGCAAGGCGTGGTGACTCAGGGAAGGGGGCTGAGGAGGTTAGGATTGGGTGGCTGTGGGGGCAGCTCCAGGGCACTGTCCCCACCCACTTGAACTTTTCTGCTTTGTAGTTCAGATCCCCCCACACACCTGGGCTCACCACATCCTGCCCCAGGGCTTTCGGCTGGGGTGGGGGTGGGCAGAAGGGTTGAGAGCTTCCGCTTCTTTCTGCTCACGGTCTTGCTGGAGCACCAGGGTCCCTGCCATCCAGGGGTCTGCTGCAGGAGGAAGGAGGCAGAGCTGGGGGAGGGGAACAATGGAGGAGCAGTTCTGGTAGCTCCTCTCCTTCCCCTTGGGGCCGCTCCTGAATTCCCACGAGGTACCTGGGAGAGCCCAGCACCGTCAGCAGCAGAATTCCCCTCCAGAGCTGGCCTGTGATTTGAGGAAGTGCTTTGTTTGGGTCCCTGGGGTTTCCCTGGGCGGCTGGGGAGGAAGCCTTGCCGGCTCATACTGGAAACTCATCATGAGCCCCTGCCTCTTCCACCCCTCCCAGGCTGGGGTCCTCCTCACCCAGATGCCCAGGGTATTGGCCTCAGAGGACCAAGCTCTTGCCCAGCTTGGCCACTAACCTACTGTGCTGAGTGCTGGCCTCAGCCATGAGAGCAGGGACGGGAAGGAGGAAGGGAATGCAAGCCCCTCCCGCCAAGGTCGGGTAGAAGAGACAGTGACCCTCTGGTGCAGAAATCTCGGTGGTCAGCCTTCGTTGAAATACATTCCTCAGGGGAACACCCTGGGAGGAACAGAGAAAAGGGAGAGGAAGCAGGGCTGGGGCACCAGGGCTCCAAGTCCCGGGGGGGGGGGGGGGGGGGGGGGGGGGGCTGTGCCTATGAGATTCGCTGCCTGGCAGATCAAAAGGTGGGCACGTGATTCCAGGCTGCTGCGTAAACGGGGATGTTTGGGCCCCACTGCTCCTGGCACACACTTCTCTCCAGAGGTGGTCCCCGTTTTACCCCAACGCACCCGCCCCCAGCCTGGGCTGAGCCCGCGTGAGGCTGCGGGGGCGGCACCGGCGCCTTCCTGCGCTGCCCTAATATGGTAACCCGGGGCCGAGCCGGGCCGGGCTACTTAAGGCCGGGAGCCCGCGGGACGGGACGGCGGGGCCAGCCAGAGCCGGGTAGGGGAGGAGTGGGGCCGCAGAGAAGGAGCAGGAAGAGGCCGGGCCATGGGGCTGGAAGAGGCGCGGGAGCTGGAGTGCGCGGCGCTGGGAGCGCTGCTGCGGGATCCGCGGGAGGCCGAGCGCACGCTGCTGCTGGACTGCCGCCCCTTCCTGGCCTTCTGTCGGCGCCACGTGCGCGCCGCGCGCCCGGTGCCCTGGAACGGCCTGCTGCGCCGCCGCGCCCGCGGGCCCCCCGCCGCCGCCCTCGCCTGCCTGCTGCCCGACCGCGCGCTGCGGGCGCGCCTGGCCCGCGGGGAGCTGGCGCGGGCCGTGGTGCTGGACCAGGCCGGTGCCTCGCTTGCCACGTTGGCACCCGATTGCCCTGCCCGGGTGCTGCTGGCCGCGCTGCTGCACGAGACCCACGCCGGGCCCACCGCTGTGTGCTTCCTTCGAGGTGAGCGGCGGGCCCCACTTCCCCTGCTCAGCCCAGCCCTCCTGCGCCGGTCCCTCCGGGCCTCCCGCTGACCGAGCCCCTTTCTCCCTGTAGGAGGCTTCGATGCCTTCCAGGCCTGCTGTCCCGACCTGTGCTCCGAGTCCGCCGCCCCAGCGACGCCTCCTCCTGGGGCAGAAAGCAACCGTTCCGACCCCAGGGTTCCCTTCTATGACCAGGTGAGTTGGAGATCAGGCCTCCTTGTCCCTGTTCCCCTGTGTCACTGTGCCTGGCGTGGGTCTGTGGGTCTGTGGGTGTTTGCAGCCTGTTTTGAGGCTCAAGGGAGATGTGTTTACCCGTGAGCGCTGTGTGCCACTGGGTGTCCTCATACCCCAGGAGCCTGGTCTGGGTCAGCACTGGCGCAGGGCTCCTCCGGTCTGAGTGGGGAAGGCTCACCCGTTCTCTCCCCTCTTCGCCAGGGTGGCCCTGTGGAGATCTTGCCCTACCTCTTCCTGGGCAGCTGCAGCCACTCCTCCGACCTGCAGGGGCTGCAGGCCTGCGGCATCACCGCTGTCCTCAACGTCTCCGCCAGCTGCCCCAACCACTTCGAGGGCCTTCTATGCTATAAGAGCATCCCGGTGGAGGACAACCAGATGGTGGAGATCAGTGCCTGGTTTCAGGAGGCCATAGGCTTCATTGGTACGGGAGGTACTTGGCCCCAGGATGGAGGGGTTCAAGGGAGGGACTTGGGGCATGGTTTCCTCCCTGCTCAACCTCCCATCTGACCCCCGCCCATTTCCCTTGCAGATTCCGTGAAGAACAGTGGGGGCCGGGTGCTGGTGCACTGCCAGGCGGGCATCTCCCGCTCTGCCACCATCTGCCTGGCATACCTGATCCAGAGCCACCGTGTGCGGCTGGATGAGGCCTTCGACTTCGTTAAGCAACGCCGGGGGGTCATCTCCCCCAATTTCAGCTTCATGGGGCAGCTGCTACAGTTTGAGACTCAGGTGCTCTGCCACTGAAGTGCCACAGCTGTGGCTCCAGGGCAGCTGGCCTGGGACAGCGAGGCTGCCTTGGGGGCCTCACAGCCCCCCTCACCGCAGGGAGACCCGCCCCTTGCTTGGAGTCTGGAAAGCTCCTGGCAGGGGCAGGGGCAGGGGCGCTGGAAGTACAGGAATGCTGGACTCTTACCTGGTGCTCTTCTGCTAGGGGCCTGAGGGCTGGCCCTCATCTGGGGACAAGAGTGAGGGTTTGTCTCTTCCCTCCCTCCTCCCCATCCTCTGGCAGAAACTAACTGGACTTCACACTCGTGGATCCGGTGGTCCCACTGTGTTGAAACCCTTGGCAGCCTGAGAGCCCAAGGAACAAGCTGTGACAACCAGGAGCCCCACCTGCGGGGGCGCACCCCAGGGGCTGGAGCCTGAGCCGTGAGCTCCCAGGGAGCTGGGCTTGGAGCCCTGTGGGTCCCTCGGGTGGGCCTCTGGCTTGCGTGTGTGTATTGGAAAGTTCACGCCTTGACGGTGCTGGAAAGTTCTTTGTGTTCAACTGATATTTAACACCCCCTCCCCTACTTCCTCCCAGCCCTGTGGGCGGGGTTGGAAACTTAGCACTTTATATTTATACAGAACCTTGAGAATGTGTCAATAAAATATTGTTTTGTTTAAAAAAAAAAAACAATTTTGCAAGCATCTGGTCTTGAGTCAGTGTCTGGGGAAAGCCTCAAAAGCTATTTCTTTCCCAGGGCTCACCTCTCCTGGCGCTTGGGGCCTGGGAAAGGGAGGAGGAAGGTGCGTGTGTGCCCTCGCTGGCAGGGGGTGCCCTCGGGGGGGCCCAGCGTTCCTGTGCTGGTGGCCTTTCCCAGGCATCATTCTGTCTCAGCTGCAGGAGCTGGTTTCTGGGCGACCGCTCCCACCTCGTTTCAGTTAGGGGCATTGGTCCTGTGGGGCAAGGTTGTGACCATGACTCAGAACTACGTCCAGCACTGCCCTGGTCAGACCCCACTTCCTTTCTGGAGCTTGTGCATAGAGGTGTGTGTGTACATATCCCTGTATGTGCTGTCCTGTGGGTATGGGTGTCTTGTTCTTGGTCTACATACACCTATATATCACGTGCATGAGTGTTCCTACATCCCTGCATGTGTCTGTGTGTGTTTGTGTGTGTGGCTCTTTCTGTGGCTGTGTGTGTGCCAAGCCTCTCCACTTGCCCCCTCGCCAGCAGCACAGCCTCTCGCTTTCACATTCCTGGATGGGCCCATGATACCTGGTCCCAGAGCTCCTTGTCCCCAGGAGGCATGGACATGGTGTCTGGTACTGAGTACATGTCATCAGGAATGGGTTTCATTGCTCTTCACACAGACCCCACGCGTGTGTCTTTACTGAACGCTGCTTACCAGCCCCGGGTGTCTAGGGAAAAGAAGGTATCCCAGACCAGCCGAGTGGAAGGTGCTGCTGAGGCTGCAGAGTGGGAGTGAGGCCCCTGAGGACAGCTCTGTGGCGCCCATCCTGCTTCAGCCTCCACTCTGACTCCTGGCCACTCAGACACGCAGAGTGTCGTCATCTGACTTGGCCACCTTGCTATTTCTCCGTGTGCTGTTCAGTAGCAGGAAGCGTATTTATTTGCATTGTTGTACAGCGGATCTCCAGAACATTTCCTTCTTACAAAACTAAAATTCTGGTTCCCATTTAAACAATAACTCCCATTTCCCTCCCAGCCCCTGGCAACCACTGTTCTAGCCCTGTCCAGGGATCTGTGCATCTTTTCAGTGGGATCACACAGATTTGTCCTGTTGTGACTGACTGATTTCACTCAACATAACGTCCTCGAGACGAACTGCATTTCTTAACTAAGAATCTGTTTCTCTGCCCAAGCAGGGTGAGTGCTGAGCATTGGGATGACTGTACCTAGCGAGCACTCACATCTGAAGGGTCGGCTCCATGTGCTGATGTCCCGCCTGGCAGTGGGGACCTCTGTCCTCCTCACGTCTCCCGATGGCCCAATCCCATTCTTATGAGAGACCTGGACTCCAGGCACAGCAGGATGCCGAGAGGTGCTTAGGACCGCACCTGGCATCTTTGGTTCTGTGGCTTCTCTTCACTGGAGTCCCCAAATCCTCTGCCGGCAGGATCTAAGTGCAGTGACAACCACATAGGATGGGCCTCTTGAAAGGCTAAGGAGTTCAGAGGTGCAGGAATAGGGACAAGCAGCTTAGCTTTTGAACCTGTGGAGTGGGGAGGAATGGCGATGAGGCACCTCTGTGTGTGGATGTGGGTATCCAAGAGGCTCCCCCTTCCCCAGGGCAGGCCACAGCAGGCATCCAGCGTGTGAACTTTCCCTGATTCCTGTGCTTGTCCCCTTTCTGTATGTGTGTGAACTTTCCCTCCTTCCACCGATAGACGGGGGAGCCTCTCGTCTCAGGCAGCTTTCCCACATCTGAGCACAGGCAGGCTGGGGAAAGGGTCTCCCTGGGCTGAAGGATGAGGTCCCTCCTGTGCTGGGCCTCGGCGTCTTTCTTTGGTGATTCTCTGCCCCCTGGTGGTCAGAGGGCACCTCAGCAGAGGCCCACCCCCAGGGTGCCTTGTACCTGGCCTCTGGTCCGCTTTAGCCAGGTAGGAAGGATCTGAGGAGGGTCCAGAGGCTGGAGGTGGGGAGCGCAGGCTGGGAGGGGCTGCAGGTGAAGTAGGTTGGGGGAGGGGCTGCAGGTGGAATTGGTTGGGGAGAAGCTGAAGGGGGGGGGGGGGCGGGAGAAGCTGCTATTTAAGGCTGGGTGACTTGGCCCTAATTAGTTTGCCTCCTCTGGCCTGGGTTCCAGCTCCAGCTTGCTGAGGGCTCAGTGGGCCCACCACAGACAGCACAAGCATGGGGGGCTTCTGGTCTTGGATGCTGGGTCTGCTCTCTTTGCCAGGTAAGCGGCTGCCTCACCCTCCTGCTTGGGCTTCAGTCTGCAGAGTGCTGGGCAGAGATGGAAGGGTGTGGCTGGAGCCTGCCAGGCTCTGAGTTGGTTTGAATGGCTCAAGAGTGTGCTCTCCAGGGATATTCCTAGAGTCAACTCCAGGGCCCCCATGGGGAGGCCTCCTGAAGAGCCTGGAGCAGAGGCCTGCCTGGCAGGTGTGGCACTCCAGAAGCCTAGTTCTGCTGGCCTGGTGAGGCTTGCCGGGGCTGAGCCTGATTTCCAGAGGCCTGGGCTGAGAAGGGAGTTGTAGGGTAGCGTCTGAGGCTGGCCCACACACACCTGTCTCCAGTGTTGCAGTCTGAGCTTTGTCCCTGCCCCTCCTTCCTGCTGTCCCCCCACCTCAGACACCCACATATTCTTGAGCAACGTCTGCCTTTTGTAGCCGGTGTTGGTCCGGCTCAGGGAGCCCCTTCCTCAAAGCTGTCTAGGCCTCGGCCCTGGCGGGGGCTGAGAGGTGTGGCCAGGCAGGCTCCCAGGACCGCTTGCTGGAGGCCTCCCTTGTGAAGGGAGGGTCACCCATCCCCTCCCACGTCCTGACATCCTTTCCCACATGGGGGCACGTGGGCCCATGTATGCCTGGGCCAGGTTTGATCCTAGGAGCGCCCCTAGCCGCCAGCTGTCCGGGAGCCTGTGGGAGCAGGTTCTCAGAAGTCCTCACCCCTGAGGGAGCCCAGACGTCTTGGGACAAGGACATCCCTGCGATTAATCAAGGTGAGGGCACATGTCTTGAGGGGGGAGGGGTGCAGCGGGGTGTGGGGAGACTGTGCTGACAGCTCAGCTGGGCAGAGATGCTGAGAGGAAGTGCGCCTACGCGTGGGCTCTAAGGAAGTGGCGGTTCTCCCTGCAACTTCCCCAACCGGCTTTCTGTGACTTCTCGGCGGGGGTTACCTTTACAGAAGCGGGACGCACAGGGTTTGTGAATGGCCAAACAGATGTGTGGGCTCTCTCTGTTTGGTGTCCAGCTCGGTCATTAGCGATGTTGGCAAACATGTGGGCCACCTGGTGCAGCACGGCCTGCAGGTGTGAGGGGACGGGCTGGGGATACAGAGCGAAGAGGCACGAGGTCAGGGCCTCCCTGTCTGGGGTCTCAGGAGGAGAAGGAGGACACGATGTCCTGGGACCACGCTGGAGAAATACCGATGAGGGTCCAGATGTTGGCAGTTTTCTCCAGGGGAATGGTGACCTTGCCCTGGGGGGTGGGACTCTGCGGATGAGGAAGTCACGTGTGGGCTGCCCCATCTTTCTGTGAGCCGATTTGGAGCACCGGCACTGCTGAGCAGGAGCAGGGCAGGGCACTGCCTGTGGTGACCCTGACCTGTCTGGGGGTGGCAAGACCCAAACGGAGGCTTCCCTGGCATCAGTTTTTAGATGCCATGGAGAAAGCTTTTTGCTACCTCCGTGTTTCCCCGAAAATAAGACATCCCCTGAAAATAAGACCTAGCGCAACTTTGGGAGAAAAAATTAATATAAGACACTGTCTTATTTTCGGGGAAACGGTATTGCTGGCTGCCTGGGCAGCATTTCAATGAGCCTCCATTAGCAGCTGGAAGCACACGGTCCCAGCTGCCGGGAATGCTGGCTACTGAGGCCTCGCAGCTGAAGGCCTTCGGCCAGGGATGTTGGGAAGCTGCCCTCCACTGCCCGGGCCCTCAGTGACTCACAGGTGCACGCATGTGGCCCCTGCCTTAAACCGGGACAAGTCCACGGTGCCACGGGGACCCAGACCTCTGCTGGTTACCGGGAAGGTGAACCTGGCCCTTGGTGGGTCTGCCCAGGGCCTGCCCATAGTGTGTGGGTTTTTGTCTTCGTGCAGCAAACATTTCCCAGCAAACATTTCCCAGCACGAGTCCAGGTAGCAGTGAGGGAATGTTTATTAAAGCTGGGGACAGTAAAACAAGAAAGGGCTTAGTATGGAAGAGGCAACAGGGAGGCTAGGCTGGGCTGCCCTAGCTCTCTGGGAAGTAAGAGAAAAAGGGGGCCTTGGGATAAGCCTGGGACGAGCTGTTGCTGCCCATCACTTCCCAGGCTGCAAGTCTCATGGGGTCCCTTAGCCTTTAGGAGATGCGTGCCCTC